ATGTGCACTGAGAGTTGCATAATGAAAGATTACAAACAAAAACAAACAAAATAATCAAACGTAATCAAAAACAAAACTCTGAACAACTTCAAAGTGAATATTGGCAACAATAAATTGAATAAATAAAAACATTCATCTACGGATTTCAGAAATACCATAATGACCATATTCTGCTTTGAAAAGCAGAAATCTTCCAAGATTTTATTACTTAATTTAGAAATAAGATCATGCACACTAATGAAACTTGAATTAGAGTATTTATTTTTAAAAATATCTCCAGTAAGAGAGCTTAGCTATGTCATTGTTAATTCCTTCCATAAAGGACCAACAGGCTCATGTCATGATGGTGATAAAACCATAAATGCCAAAATCGCTATGCAGAATGCTTTTGGTTTCTTTTCATTACCTTAAGGGTTTCCCAGAGTCTGGCATTTGCGAGTCAGAACTGACTCAATAGCAATGGGTTTATGGCATTTACTTTCCCAGGGACCTTCTCTCAATTGCACACAAAACAGAGAGTGTGCATTTAAATTCTCTCAGCCCTCCCTCGGGTCTGCTTTGCTGATGCCTAGCTCATTTGTTTGGTTTCATATCTCCATAGAGTTTTACAGTATTGGTTACCAAAATAATTTGCCTGGAATTTTTAGAGACAAGGACTTTATTAAAACCATTAAAAGATGAAGAAAACCACCCTTTTCTAATGATATGACAATTTAGTGAGCATTGCCAATAATATCTATCCTCTAAAGTGGTTCAAAAACAGATTGTCTATCATAATGACTAATTGACTTTTGTTAATTTTAGACAATAAGAATCCAACTGATCTCCTGAATTAATGATAGCCATAAATGTCCCATTTAAGCTTTTAAAATCAATGTATTCATTTTTTAACTGTTTTTTTAAATTTTATTTTTGTAATGTTTTTTTTCCTTTAAAAAAAAATCATTTTATTGGGGCTCATACAACTCTTATCACAATCCATACATACACCAATTGTGTAAAGC